ACCGACAGGAGGAGTCGCAGATGGCCGGCTCCTGAAGCTGACAATGATGCATGCGCGCAGTGAACATTCTGGAAGGAGCTGAGAGGGAGTGCATCGCTGTGACCTTCACGGCCGAAACACAGAGGGCAGCCATCGTTCTGCTTTGCACCACTTACATGCTACAAGTAGCATTTTGGCCTCAAGTTACACGGCAGCCACAGAGTTTTCACTGTCTCCCTCCAGGGAATGAATATATCCACGGCAGAAACTGGGGATTTAAACGGGAAAAATAACATAAATCAAACTGAAATTTTGTACCTTTTGTGCCCTTTGCTCCCTTGTCTTCCGGCTCTTACTCACCATTCGTTACCCTAAACTGAGGAAGCACCTCTGCTGTTACGGGCTTCCGGACAACCCCGTCGGGAAAGGCGCTATATAAAAATAAACTGAACTGGACTGAAAATAAGCAGCGTTGAAGTCACTTTATTTCCTTGGGTGTTTCCCTTATTCGTTAACAATTTGATGTAAAACATCAATATAATTTATGCACATCAATATTTGTACGTGGAGTGAGTGATATGAAGGGATTTTTATGGATGGACTCAATGGATGGAACAATCACTTTGCACATTCTTACGATTTCCTGTTATAAATGTTTGAGGCATGCAGTAAATTAATGACACAAAGTGCTCACATTATTATTGGCAACAGCTCGTCCGCGGTAAACAGTCTATTTACAGCCAGTGAGAGTAATAAATATTAATGCATGTTACAGATGTGTATCACCTGTTATTGTGAACTGAAACATCTCATTCAGGGTAAAATACAAGAGAGAACCATAACCACAAAAAGCAAATTCCTATTACACGGTGAAAATATTGCAGATATCAAAATGATGTCAATTGTAAATTGCTACATGTAAGTATGGAAAACATAGTATAAAGCTGTAACACGTCATTACCACACCTGAGAAAATGCATTGAAAATATGAGAAATATGAACAGAACAGTATACGAGTTATTGTCAAGTGTCAAACAAAGCAGTTCACATTTAAATAGTTGATCTCACAGCAATTTTGAGGATTTTTTTTTTTTTTTACGAAAGGCAACAAAAGCACCCATCTGCTCAGGCAGTAGTGTGTTTAGCTGGATTGTACTTAAATAAGACATGAGGAAGTCATCTGGTCGTGTGAGGAAGTCGCCTGGTCGTGTGAGGAAGTCGCCTGGTCGTGTGAGGAAGTCGCCTGGTCGTGTGAGGAAGTCATCTGGTCGTGTGAGGAAGTCGCCTGGTCGTGTGAGGAAGTCGCCTGGTCGTGTGAGGAAGTCATCTGGTCGTGTGAGGAA